GTGTGTGGGCGGGGCCTAGGCAAGGATAGGGGCGGGGCCGGGGCGGGAAGCCAGCCGCGTGCAGGGCAATGCAGACCCGGGACCGCGCCCCTGGGAACCGGGCGGGGAAACCGTTGTCTCGACCCAATTTGTCCGACTTAGAGGAACCTGAACCTGGCTTCGTTCTCCCAAAAGCCTTGAAAGAGGCCGGAGCACCTTGCAGGAAGACCAGGAGGGATGCCCGGCCCTCCCGCAGCCCCCTCGCCCGCCCTAAGCCTCCGGCGCCGCCCGCTCGGGGTGCGGTCCCGCTGCCGGCGGCCGACCCCGCTGACCTTGTCTTTCCCACGCTCTCGGCGACAAGGTCGACGGAGACCCGCCAGCCTCCGGAGCGCTCCGCCCCGGCTGCGGTAAATGCCAACCATGCTGCGTCCTGGGCTGTGCCCGCGTGTCCGGGTGAGGAATCCGCCGTGTGCGGAACAGCTGCGGGCAGCTGGAGCGAGGCCCCGAGACCGGGCCGCGCCCGCGCGGTGGCGCACAGGTTCCGGCAGAACTTCGAGAGGTGGTTCGATCGGCCCCTGGCGGGCGGGCCGGACGTGGAAGGTAGAGGCGCGCAGCCCAGACCCCCAGGGAGCTTGCTGGGACGGAGCCGTGGGCCGCTCCTTTCCAGGTGCCGAAGCCCATCCCTGGACCTGCTCTAGCACGGCCCAGGCCGGGCTGCAGGGGACAGGTGTGCGTGCAGGAGGGGGTGCCTGAGGTGTGCGTGCAGGACGGGGTGCCTGGGGAAGCCTCGCAGCAAGGGACAGGTGCGCGCAGGAGGGGGTACCTGGGGAAGCCTCGCAGCAGGGGACAGGTGTGCATGCAGGCAGGGGGTGCCTGGGGAAGCCTCGCAGCAGGGGACAGGTGTGCGTGCAGGAGGGGGTACCTGGGGAAGCCTCGCAGCGCTCAGCCTCAACGGGGATCATTGGAAGACCACCCCCTGGGGCACGGTGGATAGAGCCTCGGGCTGAGGTCTGTCCCGGTCACTACAGCAGGACGGCCCACAGGATAGGATTAGCCCCAGCAGCACATTTCCAAAAATGGGCTTATTGGGTCTAGATACGATTGGGTCTAGATACGTCCCTGCCCCACACTGTCCCAAAGGAGCTTTGCACCCTCTGACGCGGCCCACCAGAGGAGAGGAGGCGGGACCCTGCCTGGTGCCCTTCCATTCTCCCTAGGAAGCCTTGGGGGGCATGTGCGCCTACCTCCACAAAAGTGTTCCCTGCCCCTCACCGGGGAGACTCTGCACACAGGGCACAGAGAATTTCAGTTCCCCTTATCCGGTGACCTTCAGGCATAGCCGACCGACCTCGCAGTGCCCAGGAAGCTGGCAGATGCCTGCCTTTCCAAATAAGACTTTTCTGTCTCGGCAGCCTCCTCTGGGTACACACGTAATCTTTGAAATTAATTTTTTTTTTATATTTGGCCCAAGGCAACTTCTGAGTCCAGGCAACAGACGAATGGCAAAATGGGGGGAAAATATTGGCAATTCGTATCAAAGGCAAACCTCTTTGGTATGTAAAGAGCTCTTGCAATTCAATAAGAAAGAGACCAAGATAGGAAAGTAGGTAAAGGCTAGGAAAATATGATTCACTAAAAAGGAATTAGGCCCTGTCAGCATGACTCAGCGGTTGAGGGTTGACCCATGAA